AATTGATAAGAAAAGGCTGAATGATCTTTTAAAAAAGACCCACTTCAGATATTTGTGATCAAAAATGACCAGCACAGGAAATAAATGGGAAATATTAAAACACAGAGCAATTTTGGGGGTACACAGCCCCATGTATATAAACTGTATTAATATAATAAATAAGTATATATATATATTATACAGAAATAAATAGTGCGTCATTTAGACGTGAATGTTGTCTAGTAGCACGAAATCCCCTCAAAATACAAATATTAAAGAATAAATATTTTTGAAACAAAATACAAAATATTGAAACAAATTATCATAAGTGTGAGCCCTAAGTAAGGAACTCCGGAGGGTTATTGGTTGCTAAGAGGCAAATGATGCAGTCAAACCTTTTTGTGCTTTTGAAGACCCAGATGAACTTGACATGGTAGAAGAGCTTCCATCATCGCTGTCAGGAGGAATGTCTTCAGCAGAGCCATCAGAATCACTGTCAGACCGCACACTGACATCCTCATTACTCTTCTTCACTGAAAACAAATGAAGTGTTATTGATCATAACGGTCACTGGCTGATGAACAGCATGAATCTGCAGAACTGTGCCGTTATTACAGTTTCTGTAAAACAAGAGAGACACCTTGAAAGCTTGGTAACGATGCAGGACAACCTTCTTTTTTCCGAGCTTGGAACACAACCTCTCTGTTGACTGAACGTTTCACTGAAAAACTCTCCTCGGTGGCTGTAAGAGTCAAGTTTCTTCGTTAAAACCGATCTATTTAGTGCTTATAAGAAGTTATAATAAAATACTCACAGTCTTTTTCGTCAAGAAAGCCGAGTGTATTGCTCTTTGGCTGCTGTTTGATGTCTCTGGACTGGAGCGCAGTGACTGAGGGCTCGTCGTCAGCGTCACTGCAGTCACACTCGCGAGTCTTTGAACTACTTGAAATCCCTCCTCGCGCCAAATCTGCTTTTGAGTCTGCTTTCTCCGTTTCCTTTCCGGCATCACCGCCGCCGAGCTTGTCATTCTCATCCTCATCACTGGATTCATTTTTCCTTTGCCTCAAATTTCTGCGTGGATTTTGATTAAACATGTTAAATGCAATCCAGTGTGAACGTGAAATCGACGACTTGCCGTGGCGTAAATTGTCATTCCTGGTCGACGTTTCAAAACATTTCACAATAAAAGTCCTGTACTTGAATAACGAAATCGATTGTATATTTAATTAATTGTGAAAAGTGTAGTTGTGTCAACGTCTTCAAATACACATGGCAAATGTATCCAAACTGAATCTTGTCGATTTAAAAAGTGAAATTAAATCAGTTACGGCTGCTTAGCCCCAGGGCCTTTAAGCATATTCTTATATACAAGCTTTTCACTTAACATTTTATTATGGTTTTAATATAAGCTTCTGCAGAATTAAAACTGGAAATGCTATCTTCAGTGTTTGCTTCCCTATTTATTTTGGAATAACAAAAAAATCGGGAAAAAAATGAAAATATGTAAATTAGTCACAACTAACTGAGGGTGCTGAAGCATGTGTTATACTATGTGAGTTATGTCTTCTTCATAATAATAATTCGGTAGACAAGGTAATGTCTAGTGTAATATTTGGGTAAAGGTTATCTAAAGGTTAGAGTAAATAGAATAGAATAGAAAGTAACATTTCCAGGATTTTTTTGTCATACTATATGGGGTGCTGTTAGACTTTAAAATTACTAAACATTTTCAATGTTCTTAAATGCAGTAATTACATTAATTAAACTATTTTCTGATGTTTTTGCAGAAAACTTGTACTGTTATAAAGTATTATGAAAATATAAAATGTCATACTTTGTGTTTGAAACAAAGAATTGAGGGAGAGAAATGAGTCTGAGTGAGGACACAGAAATATAGAGTGAAAATTAACAGGGATCATAAGAGAGCGATGCAGAAAGTAAATAGAATCTAAATGATGCCTTAAAATAAAAACAGCCATGCAATTAAAAAAATTACTGCAGATCAAGTGTGGAGGCTCTAGAAGAGTTTCAGTAACACACTGATTGACCAAGTGACTAAATGACTGAAGTTTGTTGATTAAAATTATTTTGTTTAAAAAACATGTTGATATTGTTTGTGTCAAAATTAAACTTTCCTTCTCCTTTGACATGCTTAAAGTTAAATAGAAATACTTTAATGTAATACTTCTCACCTTCTATTTAAAGCAATAACTACCATTTCTGTCCTTTAGTGTGACATAATGTCCTATAGTGTAACACACAAAAGAATTTGTTTTATCTCAAAGTATCTTAAAAAAAAAAATCTTTAAAAAGATCAGTAAAAATGTAAAAAAACAAAAACTGAAATAATCGACAAAGTTAGTGACCCCTTACATTTTCTCAAACATCAGACTTCACACTACATACATATATGTATCTTCTTCAAAAATGGTCTTTTACAAAAAAAAACATTTTTACTGCCTATTTGTCAACTACCCATATATATACAGTATATATATATATACACACGCACACACATTTATAACTGATATAACTATTCTAATAATTCTATGGGTGACAACTTTATCCAAAGAACACAGATGAGTTTGATTCTTTCTGGCTTTTGTCAGTGTGTACGATGTTACTTCTAAAATATAAACAAATTTAGGTTTGGAGGATTGAGCTCAACACCGCTTTGAATTATATGTTTCAAACCAACAAAACAAGACACAAGACATTTGTGCAAACTGACTTTTAACTTGCAACCTTACAGTGACTTAGATAGAGCCCTTTGGGCAACTAGTCCAGATCTCCCGTATAACTCTCCAAAGTTACTTCTAAGATGTTATAATATTCCATTCTATTACTGTGATGTTTATTTAATTATTATTGTTGTTATTATATTATTATTTTATATATTTTTGTACATGTATACTAAGCTTTGGCAATATTGTATCATTTACAGTCATGCCAATAAAGCAATTTTGAATTTAATTGAATTACTTCCAGTTAAAAATTAGGCAAAAAAAAACAAAAACAAGACAGCAAACTGGTTTATAAAATGTAATTAAGCATGTTTCATAACATACATAGGGCATAAAACATTTTCACAAGGCTTTTGTGAGACTAAAATTCATGGGAAATTTAAAAAAAAAAAGAGAGAGAAAAACAAAAACAAAAATCACATACACAATAGAATAAAAGACAAAAAGGAGAAGCAAAACATGTAATAGTGGTCAAATCTATAATGACACTCTCTGGACAACCACACACCTGTGCACAAAGCATTGAAAAGTATCAGAACTTTAATATTGGCAACTGATTCTCATTCCAGTGTTCTGGACATACACAGGCAATGTTATCTGCCAACAACACAAATTCACAAGCAGTCAGAATCAAGATACTCGTTCCTGGTTTCTATCATTCATAACATGTGTTATGTGAAACAAGTTTCTAGAGTGGGTTGTTTATAGGTGACCATCAAAACCATATTCCCGAACTGTGCCACAGATTGTGTCAGAATTGGTCTGCATGCTAGTGGGGTACTGCTAGCCAAACAGTTTCACTTTTATCATAGCATTACTAAACAAATCAAATCAAATATGCCCTATGCCCTAAGTCGTCTTACAAATGCTTTTAATTTCTATGGATGGTTTCCATAAAATAAAAGCAAAGGGAACACTAAACAGGCCAAAATCAAGTAAAAAACAGTAAATATATTATTAAACCGTTCATAAACTGAGGATCGTCAGATACTACATACCACTGCAGATGCTAATATTTCCAATTAAAATGCTGTTTGAAACGTACGCCATTTCAACAAGTGTCTTTTTAAAATTTCCATATTGAACTATTTAAAGCTTGACTGATCACTGCTTTCAGTGGAAGTGCACAACCCGTGGTAGTGCTTAGGTCAAACAGGTAAGAGTGTTAAAGTACATGATACAGTAGGTGTATATGGTTGTCTAAATGCTTTTAATATCCCTGCGATTACTTTTCTGGTCGACGTTTCAAAACATTTCACAATAAAAGTCCTGTACTTGAATAACGAAATCGATTGTATATTTAATTAATTGTGAAAAGTGTAGTTGTGTCAACGTCTTCAAATACACATGGCAAATGTATCCAAACTGAATCTTGTCGATTTAAAAAGTGAAATCAAATCAGTTACGGCTGCTTAGCCCCAGGGCCTTTAAGCATATTCTTATATACAAGCTTTTCACTTAACATTTTATTATGGTTTTAATATAAGCTTCTGCAGAATTAAAACTGGAAATGCTATCTTCAGTGTTTGCTTCCCTATTTATTTTGGAATAACAAAAAAATCGGGAAAAAAATGAAAATATGTAAATTAGTCACAACTAACTGAGGGTGCTGAAGCATGTGTTATACTATGTGAGTTATGTCTTCTTCATAATAATAATTCGGTAGACAAGGTAATGTCTAGTGTAATATTTGGGTAAAGGTTATCTAAAGGTTAGAGTAAATAGAATAGAATAGAAAGTAACATTTCCAGGATTTTTTTGTCATACTATATGGGGTGCTGTTAGACTTTAAAATTACTAAACATTTTCAATGTTCTTAAATGCAGTAATTACATTAATTAAACTATTTTCTGATGTTTTTGCAGAAAACTTGTACTGTTATAAAGTATTATGAAAATATAAAATGTCATACTTTGTTTTTGAAACAAAGAATTGAGGGAGAGAAATGAGTCTGAGTGAGGACACAGAAATATAGAGTGAAAATTAACAGGGATCATAAGAGAGCGATGCAGAAAGTAAATAGAATCTAAATGATGCCTTAAAATAAAAACAGCCATGCAATTAAAAAAATTACTGCAGATCAAGTGTGGAGGCTCTAGAAGAGTTTCAGTAACACACTGATTGACCAAGTGACTAAATGACTGAAGTTTGTTGATTAAAATTATTTTGTTTAAAAAACATGTTGATATTGTTTGTGTCAAAATTAAACTTTCCTTCTCCTTTGACATGCTTAAAGTTAAATAGAAATACTTTAATGTAATACTTCTCACCTTCTATTTAAAGCAATAACTACCATTTCTGTCCTTTAGTGTGACATAATGTCCTATAGTGTAACACACAAAAGAATTTGTTTTATCTCAAAGTATCTTAAAAAAAAAAATCTTTAAAAAGATCAGTAAAAATGTAAAAAAACAAAAACTGAAATAATCGACAAAGTTAGTGACCCCTTACATTTTCTCAAACATCAGACTTCACACTACATACATATATGTATCTTCTTCAAAAATGGTCTTTTACAAAAAAAAACATTTTTACTGCCTATTTGTCAACTACCCATATATATACAGTATATATATATACACACGCACACACATTTATAACTGATATAACTATTCTAATAATTCTATGGGTGACAACTTTATCCAAAGAACACAGATGAGTTTGATTCTTTCTGGCTTTTGTCAGTGTGTACGATGTTACTTCTAAAATATAAACAAATTTAGGTTTGGAGGATTGAGCTCAACACCGCTTTGAATTATATGTTTCAAACCAACAAAACAAGACACAAGACATTTGTGCAAACTGACTTTTAACTTGCAACCTTACAGTGACTTAGATAGAGCCCTTTGGGCAACTAGTCCAGATCTCCCGTATAACTCTCCAAAGTTACTTCTAAGATGTTATAATATTCCATTCTATTACTGTGATGTTTATTTAATTATTATTGTTGTTATTATATTATTATTTTATATATTTTTGTACATGTATACTAAGCTTTGGCAATATTGTATCATTTACAGTCATGCCAATAAAGCAATTTTGAATTTAATTGAATTACTTCCAGTTAAAAATTAGGCAAAAAAAAACAAAAACAAGACAGCAAACTGGTTTATAAAATGTAATTAAGCATGTTTCATAACATACATAGGGCATAAAACATTTTCACAAGGCTTTTGTGAGACTAAAATTCATGGGAAATTAAAAAAAAAAAAGAGAGAAAAACAAAAACAAAAATCACATACACAATAGAATAAAAGACAAAAAGGAGAAGCAAAACATGTAATAGTGGTCAAATCTATAATGACACTCTCTGGACAACCACACACCTGTGCACAAAGCATTGAAAAGTATCAGAACTTTAATATTGGCAACTGATTCTCATTCCAGTGTTCTGGACATACACAGGCAATGTTATCTGCCAACAACACAAATTCACAAGCAGTCAGAATCAAGATACTCGTTCCTGGTTTCTATCATTCATAACATGTGTTATGTGAAACAAGTTTCTAGAGTGGGTTGTTTATAGGTGACCATCAAAACCATATTCCCGAACTGTGCCACAGATTGTGTCAGAATTGGTCTGCATGCTAGTGGGGTACTGCTAGCCAAACAGTTTCACTTTTATCATAGCATTACTAAACAAATCAAATCAAATATGCCCTATGCCCTAAGTCGTCTTACAAATGCTTTTAATTTCTATGGATGGTTTCCATAAAATAAAAGCAAAGGGAACACTAAACAGGCCAAAATCAAGTAAAAAACAGTAAATATATTATTAAACCGTTCATAAACTGAGGATCGTCAGATACTACATACCACTGCAGATGCTAATATTTCCAATTAAAATGCTGTTTGAAACGTACGCCATTTCAACAAGTGTCTTTTTAAAATTTCCATATTGAACTATTTAAAGCTTGACTGATCACTGCTTTCAGTGGAAGTGCACAACCCGTGGTAGTGCTTAGGTCAAACAGGTAAGAGTGTTAAAGTACATGATACAGTAGGTGTATATGGTTGTCTAAATGCTTTTAATATCCCTGCGATTACTTTTTAGTCTCAGACTTACCTGTGATGAAATGCATGTCCTTATTTTTAATTTATTCATTAATTTATTTTCCATTAGCTATTACTTTAGGATTATGTTTGTATAAAATGACACTAGTCATACTTTTCTACAGCAGAAACTGCACATTATGAAAGGCCAAGACAAACAAACTAAGGAACAGGGTTTCACCCCAAATATCTTTCTTTTCTTGTCCAAAAGCTGCACTGCACTTTTTTTTTTTTTCATAAACAGCTCTTTGTTAATCATGGGTTTGATCTTTACTGGAGGAATTCTGACATGGAGTGATAAGGAATGGAGATGTGTAAAAAGGTCGGAGCTGAAGGAGCGTGTGGTCTAGTTCTCTCCTCCCTCGCCTCCTTCTCCCTCATCTGGTGCGTTGTCGGATGTCCATAACTGTTGGAAGAGGAAAATATGACATGGTCAGAACACATTCCGTATTATTTTAGTATTCGTCATACAGTATACTGTTATAGTTTTTATTGATATTTTCATCTAGCCTTTATTTTTGTATTTTCAGTTTTCATTTTAAATTCATGTGTATCTGTAATTACATTTCCAAACATTTTTTATTTAATTAGTAATTTTAGTATTTCAGTCATTTGCCAAGGCAACATTTCTTTTCTTTTTTTTTTTTTTATCTAATAATATTATTTAAGCTATATTTCAATTAACAAAAATTTTTCTAATAGTTTGTTAATGCTAGCACTGAAAACAATGGTCATTTTCTCCTTGACTCATCTCTTAAATTGCATCTCTCCGTTTTTATGGTACATCACACCACTATATCAAACCATAACTGGTCATGTTTGCCCTCAAAAATGGAATCACCTGTGAGAAAATGAAATTTCTCTGCCGTTACTTACTGTGAGGTTGTCTCTCAGTAGCTGCATGATAAGAGTGCTGTCTTTGTAAGACTCTTCATTCAGCGTATCAAGCTCTGCTATGGCCTCATCAAATGCCTAAATTTGTACAAAAACACATTCTTAAAAAAATGAAAGTTTATATATCATAAAATCAACGATATACAGCAAGCATGGTCATTTCAAAAGTACCTGTTTAGCAAGGGCGCAGGCCTTTTCAAACAAAAAGAATAAATATTAAATAAATATAATAAATACTACTAATAGTATAATTAATATAATAAATACTTTACTTAAACATTTTTGATAATATAATAAATAATACTACAAACACTACGTTTTAAAAATGTTTTATTGCATATGTTTTTCTGGTGGGGCCAGTGAAAATGTTGGCAGCAAAAAGAATAAAATAAAATAAAAAATCCTTACTGTTGAGGAACACAAACCTACAAAAAGAAACGCTGCTAAAACTAGGTCAATCCCAAAAATATAAATATGAAATTGCTAATATGAGCCAAAAAGAAAGTTCAAAAATTTGTTGGTGAGAATGAGTATCTGTATTGAGCAGATAATGATCAGCCTATACTCAGACACAAGACAAACTTCCCCTTGTTTAGATGTTTCCAGTTACATCATACCAAGGAAAGTCCAGTCCTACATTTTACGGAAATGTTTGTAAAACCCACAAAACCAGCAGCCAAACATTCTTACTTTTCTTGTCGTCTCCTGAGGCGACTTCAGCAAGGTATCTGTAGTAGTCGCCCTTCATCTTCAGGTAGAAGACTTTGCTCTCAGGATTTGTGGAATTCTGGATTAAATATTTGTTCAGCAGCTCCTGTAGAAGAAGAGTAAAAGAAAGAAATTAAATGGAGGAAAAGCTTGAAGTCCACATTTAGACACTTTCTTCATGTAATTTCTTTAGGCCCCAAGAAACATGCAAACCACCAGGTGAATGATCTTAAATACAGGCTAAATATCAGCTCATCCTCCTGTTAGTGCCGTTCCCATGCAGACTCGAAGCAGTTTCAAGGGATTTCCCTCCTTCGTTTTAGTCCAGGATTAAACTTAATCTCCGTCTCAGAGAGCTGAAGCTCTATCTCTGCATCCGTCTACCCATCTAACAGTAATCTGTTTCAGGGAAAGCAACAGCTTTAAGGCACGGGTAAATACCAGATTAACCACCACACCAAGGATGAGACAGATTACCACAGAAAGGCCAACACAACATCATGAGGTATGACCCACTCCTTACCACGCTATGGTAAGATCAGGTCAAAAAATGCACCATCAAGAGCTTAATATTTCTCTCCATCCTCCTACACATCACAGCGTTCTGCTTCTGTGCTTCGCAAACACCATTACAACAGAAATCATAAGGAAACAGGAAACATGCTGAACTGGTAGGAGGTTTGCTCAAATCTAGGATAGTCCAACATTTCATTGCTCACTCAGTGATTAACAGGATAGTTCACCCAAAAATAAAAATTGAGTCAACAATCACTCACCCTGAATGACTGACTTTATTCTGTGGAACATATGTTTTTGGCCTTACAATGAAAGTCAATTGACTTCCATTGTACAGTATTTCAAAACAACTCCTTTTGTGATGAGTAAATGACAGAATCTCCCTTTATGAAAGGCCTGTAAATAATGTTTTGTCTTGAGGAGTACAGACTGCACCCAGAAGCTTCAAAACAGACAAAACCAAGTGTTAGAAACATTCTCTGACATGAGGGCCTGTTTCTTCTTGCTTGCCTGAGTAGAAAGGCCTGCCAGAGCATTTTTTTCATTCTTCACACTTGTCAGGGATTCTCAGCACAGAGATGCCAGTCACTGATGACCAATCCAGAGAAACAAGGTCAGTGCTATCCCAGCTTCCCATTTCTGACCTAAAAATTTAGAAGCTTCTGAGAAGACTAAAAGCAGATGTACATAAAATAGTACAAAACTGAGCATTAACAATCTTTGTATTAGGCTTCATTTATCTGGATGCACTTATATTACCTTTTCATATCAGTTTCCACAAAATATTGAGCAGCACAACTGCGATTTGCAATAGTTATAAGAAATGTTTCTTGAGGGTAAAATCAGCATATTAGAATGACTTCTGAAGGATCATGTGACACTGAAGACTGGAATAATGGCTGCTAAAAATTCAGCTTTGCATCACAGGAATAAATTTGAAAATATATTAAAATAGAAAACCTATTTTAAATTGTAATCTTTCACAATATTAGTATTTAACTGTATTTTTGAGGCTTGTTGAGCATAAGAGACTTCAAAACAAAACAAAATCTCATTGACCCCAAACTTATAGTAAAAAAGTAACGTATAGTAAGGATTGTCAACTAGTCTTCCATCATTGTTTAAGCTTTAATATTTTTAGTGTTGGTGCTATAAATGGGATGAATTTATAGAAATCACATCTCAGTGAGGGTTTAGTGTGCAAACAGTAATTTCTGTACATTCTGGAACCAAAATCCCTTTCTGAGAAGTTACATTTCTAAGTTCACGCCAGCTACAGTGAAAGTGGTGGATTTGTAACAAAAGAACCACATTCAACAATACATTTCAAGATAATTATGGTCAGACTCCAGATATTTTTAGTTGTTGATCATGAACACATACAGGTGAATGTCTTTATACATTCCCCTGATGTTCAACAAATATAAATCAATGATAAATGCAGGAAACACTTGCCACTTGTTCAGTGAGCGTAGTCCTCCCTACTGAGAGTATGAGAGCTGGCAGCATGTGGCAGGCTGTCTGGACAGGTGGGGGTGTGGAACAACCTTGATCCCAGAGCAGATTCAACAGTGAGATGAGTCACAGACACACCCTCAGTTATCACAGACGAGCTGGGAAATCAAGCTGGAGTTCTCGCTAAAGCCGTGCACAGAAACCGGCCATGACTCACTGCACAAACACAGTTCACCGCTTACATGCACTGTAAAAAATGACCGTGAACTGCATTTGGTGGTTACCAGTTTATTACAAAGGTACAAACCAGATTTCAGTACTTCAATAGGTTGGTATATTAACATTATATCAGTTAATGAAATTACGGTATTTAACTGTAAATTTAAGTTAAAACCGTAAAACCTAAAACGTTGCTACCGTATTTTTTACAGTAAAATTCCGGCAAATTTACCGTAAATTTTACGGAATTTTTTTTACAGTGTGGGTTTAGACCAGACTACAGCAAAACCACTGATAACAGCCCCACTGATTTACCAGAAAGACAGTGGCTGATTGTGAATATTTTGTATTTCCACAGGAAGCACTTTCTGGAAGACCAGGTAGAAACCGATAAAACCAATAAATATTTTCATGTGATGGCAGATAATCAATAAATGGCCGAAGTTGGCATGAAACGGAAATTCACCCATCTATTTTCTAAATATTGTGAACAATTGATCCATATATTTTAGGACTTTTTTTATAAGAATTTTGATAATTGTTAATCACAATGTCACAATTCAGTCTTCTGTCGCTACTTCAGTTACAGCACGACTTTAATATTCTACACTATTTTGTCTAATTAAATTAAAATGAAACACTAAAATCAATTGTTTTAAATGCTACAAGTTGATTTAGGCATCACAGCATTATGTACATTAAGAAAAATGGATATTAATTTTGAGATTTACTAAAGTTTACATTTAAATTAATAGTAGTAGTTTCAAGATTAAAAACACTAAAAACACTGTTAGATGTGTAAAAAATAGATGACATATCCAATTAACAACCCTCTACATTGCAAGTAAATCACTCGCATATGCGACTAAATCTTCACTCTGGGCGACTAAATGATGTCTAATATTAGCCAATGGCTAATAAATTCTCAGATTTTACTCTGACTCTGAATTGACGCGCGACATGTAAACAATATTCTTTGTTGTATTTTCCTGTCAAAATAACAGCGTTCCTTTGGAATTCTTTAGCTTTTAAGAACTACCGCTTTCTCCGCTAGTGGGCGGAACTAATGCGCAAACGGCAATCTCATTGGCTGGCGCTCACTTATTATCGTCCCTGTTTTGATTTCAGCAAATCAGTTCGAGCGAACGCACACAACCTGATTAATATCCATTAATCCAGCAGCTCATTAATCCTTAGTGCGTTTTATAGTGTTCTTATTAATAGAATTCGTATCATCATTATCTTATCAGTATTTTTGTTTGTTTTTTCCCAATTTTTTTACAGAAACACTGAATGACCAAAAAAGCACTACCACCAATCCTACGTTCAATTAAAATGACTTTTAAATTTCAAGTTTAAATTCTAATTACTAAAGTTCTATCATTAAATAATACTTGATTATCATATTATAATGCTTGACTGACTGATGTTAAGAGTGTACTTTCAGATATTTAAAAAAACTGTGCCATTTTACAAACATTTATTATATATATATAATAGCCAATGGCGATTCAATTGCCAAGGTGTCCGTAGAGGGTTGAATTAATATCCAATACTGAACAATACTGATAATTATTATCCAATACTAATTTTAAAAAAATGAATATATTTAATAATTATCAACTTTGTCTATAACTCATATGATGTCACTAAATTGTAGGCCTATTATGTACATAGGTGGCTTACATAGTACTGGCATCTAACATTTAAAAAAAAAAAAACATTGGGAGACCACTACATGAGACATTAGTGAATAATACAATGTACAATACTATATTTAGCAATTGTCTATACAAAACACTCACACATAAAACACGGTCTAATGGTAATTAATTATGGTCTTCTCTAGGAATAGACCACAATAAGAGCCTCATGCTACAATTTCAGCTCTTTCTGTGAGAAAATAAACCACAGCTTCCATTTTTGGAACAAACCTCCTTCAGGCAACATTAAACATTATTGCTTTTATTTAAAGAAACAAAGTGTCAGAGTGGATAAAGCTAAATTATTCCACCAGTAGCACAAACACTGAGAATGAGGAACTGCATAGCTCACTATTACCCAGCAGGCATTCGAAAAGCGTTACAGAACTGCACCTGAATGCACCTTTACACACACCCACTGCTGAACTTTGAACATCTCATCAAGTCAATTGCCAAGGTGTCCGTAGAGGGTTGAATTAATATCCAATACTGAACAATACTGATAATTATTATCCAATACTAATTTTAAAAAAATGAATATATTTAATAATTATCAACTTTGTCTATAACTCATATGATGTCACTAAATTGTAGGCCTATTATGTACATAGGTGGCTTACATAGTACTGGCATCTAACATTTAAAAAAAAAAAAACATTGGGAGACCACTACATGAGACATTAGTGAATAATACAATGTACAATACTATATTTAGCAATTGTCTATACAAAACACTCACACATAAAACACGGTCTAATGGTAATTAATTATGGTCTTCTCTAGGAATAGACCACAATAAGAGCCTCATGCTACAATTTCAGCTCTTTCTGTGAGAAAATAAACCACAGCTTCCATTTTTGGAACAAACCTCCTTCAAGAAACAAAGTGTCAGAGTGGATAAAGCTAAATTATTCCACCAGTAGCACAAACACTGAGAATGAGGAACTGCATAGCTCACTATTACCCAGCAGGCATTCAAAAAGCGTTACAGAACTGCACCTGAATGCACCTTTACACACACCCACTGCTGAACTTTGAACATCTCAAGTCAGGGGCATGATTTGATTATATAAACAAACACTTCCTTCTGTGGGAAGGGTCTAAAAGGAAGCACTTCTCTTTATACATAATACCAATTTGATCAAGGTAGGTTTGCTATACAAAAAGGTATTAAATACAAACTGCACAGCTTCTAACTGGACTCATCATCACTACATATTCTAGATATAAAAACAATGAGCCGGTGACTGCCCTTGTACAAGACTTGGCATGCTCCCCTTAATATAGACACCGTCGTCTCCAGCAAGAGACAAAACTGGGCTGCTGTTCCATCAGAAAAGAGGACATATTCTCTACCATGTCACACATGTAGTGAACATACTCATATAATAACATATGAATCATATCATATGAATATGAATCATATCGTATGAATAAGGTCAAATCACAGCAGTGCATATATTTAAAACAACACTCTTGCTTGTGATTAATTCAGCAAAGACCAGATTCAAAATTGCACATTAAAAAAAAGAAAAAGAAAAAAATAATCAATCCTACAGTAATGACATGACATCTTTGTAGTATTTGCATACTGATTTGGATTGGTATTTATTACAGACTAGGGCTGCACTATTTGGGGGAAAATATTTAATCGTGAATAATTATATAAAATAATAAAAGTAATCACAAAATAAAAATATAAAAAAATATAATTGTATTTTTTTTTTTTATTAAACCATCAAGATGTTATTTTGGCAAAACACTGCCAGAAGCCCTTGAAGCCTCTCTTTTGTTGACAATAGCTGTTTTACAAACACTTGCAAAATATTATTTGGGAAGATGGCACATTGCGTTCCCAAATGCACAATATAAGTGATCCAAACACAGAGCACATGTAGCGATGAGTTTGTGTTGAAAACACAACCTGCTGAAAACACCAGCTCATGAGCAGCTTGTGTGCAAATTAACACAGTGCCACGCTTAACTCTAAAACATGTAAGGCATTTCATTAATTGATCAATCACACGAAGCCATATCCCAGTTTTGGTTTTATTTCAATTAATTGTGTAGCCCTGTTACAGACATTTGTATTCTTAATTGTGACTGGTGTTTTCTTTCTTCCTGTTCATCCATTGCTATTGCAAATTATTTTATCTAAAAATGTAACACTACTCTTTTACATTGTATGAATATGTATACTCACCAACACATCGTTGCAGATATCCTGCAGTTCAGACTCCACTTTCTCCCGGTATTCCTTCACCATCTGCAGTTTCTTGTCGTTTCCTTCAGTCTTCTGCTCGATGCTGGAGATGACCCTCCAGGCAGACCTCCGGGCGCCCACCACATTCTTATAGGCGACAGATAGCAGGTTTCTCTCCTCGTTAGACAGCTCGGATCCTGCTTCGGTCACCGACTTCATACAGGTCGCCATATCATCATAGCGCTCAGCCTGCTCGGCCAGCTTCGCCTTCTGGATGAGCTCTGTTCTGTCCATCCTGCTGCTTTTCTTTAAGTCTGTGAGTGTTTCTAGGTCTATGGGACACTCGACTGATCAATGGAGGGGAATAAACCACTGCTTAATCCCTGGAGAGGCTGAGGAGGAAAGATTATGACAGTCAAACTCCATTTATTGATTAGAGAACAGTGGTCATGAATCATTTATGCGAAAAAATCATTCTGTTCACTACCATACATTAGTGACTATGCATTGTTGCAACGTGTGGCTACTTTTATGGCTTCAGACTGATTTTAGCACAAGCATTTGAATACAAGTGGAGCATTTCATCAACAAAAACACAATTTGATTGTGAACTCTGCGGATCTCGTCATAAATGAACTGGGATATCTTACTCTTGAACGAACAAAACCGGTTAATAGAATGAGTCAATGAATCGTTCATATCAAAAGACAAATTTGTCGCCACCTACTGGCATAACGATTAGAAAGAGTCACTGAACGAATCAGCGAACGAATCTTTTTGGTTAATGATTCAAACGATTCGAATCACTGAAATGACTCAAAATCCATACCACCGTTAGAGAAGCCCTTCCGTGAGAATCTTACACTTTCATTCGCTACACACGGACTAAAATTCGTCTTAGAACCTAGTGAGTTGTCTACCAAAACAGCATTTTGGGGCGCGTTCCGTCAGATGTTCTCTAGGTAGGCAACACGGAGACACGGATAAGGGTGTGTGTGTGTGTGTGTGTGTGTGTGTGTGTGCAGCTTAACACATCTGTACAGCCCTGCCCTGTTCACTAAAACGTGCATATCTTCAAAGTGGACCCATTGTTTTAACGTCATCTTAAATACACAAAATATGACACTGCAGTTCAATACTCCGATCACAATCATACGGAGTCAATATTAATCAATGAAATCCAGCCTGATTTCCGTAACAACGAGGTTATTGGCTCACTATACAAGGCGATATTTGACAATCTCAGCCGTCAGATATGCATATTACCATACATTTTAGTTTATACCACAAATAGATCAAATCTTGATCAAATTATAGCAAAATAACTCTTTAAACATCTTTTAAAAATCAATTAACGTTAACAGCAATCTGACGACCCGCCTTTAACAGCGATGGGTCTCGTCTTGTCCAATACATGTTATTATTTTAAGACAACAAATATATATCAAATACGCAGTCGGATAATGCAAGTGCCCCATATCAAAAGTAAATAAATGTTTACTACATTGTAATAAGCAAATCAACCCTTTTTCCTGATCGATATGGACGCAGTTTGGCAGCCCCTCCTGCCTCTCAACCGACCGCGCGGTTATACCGATTACGCCGTCCATTGAAAGAATATAAATTGTATATAAGAATATAATCTTGTATAATAAATAAACACAAAACTTTAATGCTAAAATATATTATATTGCATCTCACCTCTCGTTCAATGGTTGACTCCACCGGATTGATAGCCTGTGAGCTTGGATGGCTAGTGAAAAAAAACGTCGTAGAGAAAGACAGTCGAAAGTGTTACCGTAGCACGTCGCTAATCCCGCCTGTCAGCCAATCAGATCCCGTGCTTCTCGCCTGTCACTCGTTTTACTTCAAGTGATCATCCAATAGCTGATTAGCGCGGGGAATGGAGGCGGGCCGATACGAAAGTGTTCGGCTGCCCCGTAGACTCTGACTTGTAGCCACGGGGTTTCCTCCAATTAGAGCAAGGGGGATGACGTCACCATTGCTATGGTGATTCCCTCCTCCTACTCATCCCCAGCATCACCATCAGCATCATGATTGGGAACTGGATGCAGCAACAGCAGATCTAGCCTACCTACCGAGACCCAAATACCATCTCTCTAATTCATCAGATTTCAGAGATAATTGCTTTGGTTCTTTTAAGTGCTAGTTGAGTCTATACGAAATGTGTTTGGATTTTGCAAAAATGTACAGTGTTCAGCTCTTAAATAAGAAAAGATGCTGTAATCCCAGTACAGATGTAAAGAGAAGGACAGAATTCTGAACATAGCAATACACTTTCCCAAACAGTAAAGTAGGAGTGGCCGTTCCACATTGTGAATATAACCATGCCTTAAGGACATCTTTACAAGGTTGTCATTGCAACCCATTTAACTGTGACTATTCACAACTGGCATTTTTGCATTTATATTACAAAATAACTTCATATTAATGTTTTGTCTGTTACCATATCATGGATTTACATACTGTTCAAAGGTCTGAGGTCAGTAAGAGTTTGTCTCTTGATCAAAAATACAGTAAACACAGTAAAATTGTGAAATATTATTACAATTGAATATATTTTAATGTAATTTATTCCTGTGAGGACAAAGCTAAGTTTTGCATTTCCCCAAGTTTTTGATTGACAGTAAATAATACACTTTTAAAATTTGTAGAAACAAAGAAATATTAATAGCCTAAATAAAATACAGCAGAGAAAAAATGATTAGCCTGACCATCCCTATAGCCGAAAACCCCTGAGAGTTCCCATTAGACGATAGGCATTTTAACTTTGTTGAAGCATGTTTTACTCTCCACAGTCAATTTCCTGTGAGCTAACTACATCAGACTGAGTAATTGGGTGGGGCTGAATGTATGACAAATTTTGACATCCTAGCTTTGTCTGAATAGTTTAAAGTAGTCATCCATTTAAAATATTTAACTCCCCTACTCCCACCCCCCTGTATGTATGAATTTCTTCTGTTGAATACAAAATATTTTTGGAAGAATGCTGGTAACCATTGACTGCCAGCAACTAGTTACCAACATTTTATGTGTTCAACAAAAGAAAGAAACTCATACAGGTTTGGAACAACATAAGGCTGGGTAAATTATGAATTTATTTATTTATTTTTATTTTTTGTTAAATCGAGCTTACCCCAAACTTTTAAATGATAGTGTACCACAGTTTCCATAAAAATGTTAAGCAACAAAAAATGTTTTCAACATTAAAAAAATAAGGGGGTAACACAATAAGGTTCATTAGTTAACTACTTAGTTAACATGAACTATGAACCATCAGACTGAGTAATTGGGTGGGGCTGAATGTATGACAAATTTTGACATCCTAGCTTTGTCTGAATAGTTTAAAGTAGTCATCCATTTAAACACACAATAACTCACATAAGTGACTATAGTTAGTAAAACATAGTTGGTATAAGTTTTGTTGAAATGATGAAAGACTTCAGCCAAGGACAATCAAGGAGTAAATTAAACAGGTAATTTATCAGATATTTAAAAATAAAAAAAAGGGAATTTTATCTGTACTTTAGACAACTCACACCCTACTTGGCTTTCAACCAGAAGCTCATCTATTTTAGAAAGAAGCAGGATTTCAGCCTCTCACACACAGCCTGCATGGGCAAAGACCAGGCTCAGCTCATAGAGGAGAAGGCTTGTTTAATCCCCTTTGAAAGAGATGTACTAAACGCCAGCAGGTCATGTCATGTCCTACAACCTTACACACACAACCTATTGGTACATCACAGTTTGTTTTTATTATGAATTTATTTATTTATTTTTATTTTTTGTTAAATCGAGCTTACCCCAAACTTTTAAATGATAGTGTACCACAGTTTCCATAAAAATGTTAAGCAACAAAAAATGTTTTCAACATTAAAAAAATAAGGGGGTAACACAATAAGGTTCATTAGTTAACTACTTAGTTAACATGAACTATGAACATACTTCTACAGAATTTATTAATCTTAGTTAATTTCAACATTTACTAATGCATTATTAAAAGCAAAAGCTTGTTAACATTAGATAATGCACTGTGAATTAACATGAACTAACAGTGAACAACTGTTTTTTCATTAACTAACATTAACAAAGATTAATAAATACTGTAATAAATGTATTCATGTATTCAAATGTTCATTGTTTGTTCATAATAGTTAATACATTAACTAACATTAACTAATTGGAACCTTATAGTAAAGTGTTACCAAATGAGGAATGTTTCTTAAACAGCAAATCATCATATCCGAAGGAACTAAAGGATCATGTAACACTGAAGACTGGAGTAACGGCTGCTGAAAATTATGCTTTGCCATTACAGCAATACATTACATTTTTAAATATATTCAGCTAGAAAACAGTGATTTAAAATTTTTATAATATTGCACAATATTATTGTTTTTACTGTATTTTTTGACCAAATAAATGCGAAAACTGTAATTATATATAGAGTTGCTCTCATAAGTTTACATACCCCTTGCAGAATATGCAAAATGTTCATAATTTTAACAAAATAAGAGGGATCATGAAAATTGCATGTTATGTTTTATTTAGTACTGCCTTGAATAAGATATTTTACATAATGGATGTTTATGAGAATGAGAATATACTCCACAAGACAAAACAATAGCTGAATTTATAAAAATGACCCCGTTCAAAAGTTTACATACCCTTGAATATTAATGCTGTGTGTCGTTTCCTGGATAATCCACAACTGTTTTTATGTTTTGTGATAGTTGTTCATGAGTCCCTTGTTTGTCCTGAACAGTTCAACTGCCTGTTGTTCTTCTGAAAAATCCTCCAGCTCCTGCACATTCTTTGGTTTTCCAGCATCTTCTGCATATCTGAGCCCTTTCCAACAGTGACTGTATGATTTTGAGATCCATCTTTTCACTCTGAGGACAATTGAGGGACTCATACATAACAATTACAAAAGGTCAAAACATTTACTGTTGCTCAAGAAGGCAACACGATGGATTAAGAGCTGTGGGGGTGTAAACGTTCGAACAGGATGATGATGTGTAAATTGTTCTTAAATGTTTTGACTATTTGTAATTGTTATGCACAAGTCCCTCAACTGTCCTCAGAGTGAAAAGATGGATGTAAACTTTTGAACGGGGTCATTTTTACAAATTCAGTTATTATTTTGTCTTGTGGAGTATATATAAACATCCATTATGTGAAATAGCTTATTCAAGACAGTACTAAATAAAAAAATAACATGCAATTTTCATGATCCCTCTTATTTTGTTAAAATTATGAACATTTTGCATATTCTGCAAGGGGTACGTAAACTTATGAGCACAACTGTAGCATGTGATTGAAATGTGCTGTGTTGGTGAATGAAGCAGCAGAATTGAGCAGTCTGTCAGTTGATGGTGCTGTCACTGTGACTCACAGGTTGTGCTTCTACGGTCACACTGCCTGAGGGGAATCAATATGTGGCATCAGTGTTCTGTCAGAGAGGAACAAAGACATTCGCCGAGCCGACATACAACAAAGTCCTGAAAATGGCTGTTTGTGTGTGTGTGTGTGTATGGATACATGATTATTGTTGTGGGATACAGAAAGGCTAATAAGAGAGCAGACGGACAACAAGCTTTTCTGTCTGTACTAACTCTTCCCTCAAAGACCAGCACATGCCGTTGGATGACTGTCCTCTGAGCCTGCAGAAGCCTGTGGTCTTAGAGATCCATATGCAGTAGCAACAACATGGAGGTGTTTAAAAAGCTGTTCCACATGAAATGAACAATCCGCCCATCCAAGCAAAAATACCTAGCTATACTGTATATAAAAATCAAACACATGGTCAGTGTTGCACTTCACCCCGTCCGAATTTCCTCCGACCTATTAAACAAAGTCGTTCACATTTCTACCGCTTCCCACAGTAACGACATGATCAGTTTAACTACACAAGCAGGCACTGGTTCAATGCAGTCATCCATCTTTACTTAAATTAGATTCTGTTCTAATTACCATATAAAAAATACAATAACCTTGTCTCAGTGGATACATCAAAGCCCCTGCTGAAAGTGCTCAAACCTGGAGAACTGATTACCTTATTGCTTTCTCTCTGTAAATGAGGAGACCGGGGGGGATGTAGCAGTTACGTAGGTGGGTGGGCTCGGGGAGTTGTGTAGGCAATCTGATTGAATGAGACGAGGGTGTATTTCATACTCTGCATGGCTGTGTGTGAGTGTGTAGGAGTGAAGGGGGTGTAATTGGCCCTTGGCACTCTAATTTTCTGTCCTTTCACCATTGTGATCATTGTTGGTGAGCATATAGCGTTGGATCCACTACTACACAGCTTTAACACAGCAACAAAGAGATCCTTTCTTTTCCTTTTCTTGCGTCATTTGTTCATGTTAAAGCCAGTTCAAAATTACTCTATTTACTTTCTTAATGCATTTTACTTTCTTCCCTTTGTGCACAATACTATACTTTATTTTTTTTTTTTTAAATGCTTGTGCTCATAATATTTTATAAAAATAACTTTCCCTTTTGGGTGACGTCACAAATCCCTCTTAGCAAGCAACACCCACTTTTTGCCAGTAGAGAAAATCAAGTCCTGTCCTACATTTTTTCTGACTGAATAATTCTGTTGCACTTAGAAAAACGTCACATTACGTCACGTTACTGATTATGGATGCCTGATGCATAATTAAAAAAAAAAAATTAAAAAAAAATAGTGTAGTGTATGACACCCAATGAATTAAAGAGTTTTGCCAAAAACTCTCAAATAATAATAATAAATATTATTTTAATAACAAAATAAGTCTATATTGTAAATAAT